ACCCCCCGCATACGAATTTGATGATACTCGCTTTTTAAATCAATTTTAGAAAATATGCAAGCACCATGTAATTCATCAAGCATGTCATCTAATCTAAGTATAGGGTGACGATATTTTACCGTTATGTTGTTGATAGCCCTACAATCCACGCACATTCACCATGTTCCATCCTTTTTTGGCATAAAAAAACCGGTACCGCACAAGGACTTGTGCTTTCCCTCACGTATTCTTTGCTCATCAACTCCTCCACTTGCCTTTGAAGCTCCTTTGTCTCCTCAGGATTACTTCGATAACCCGGTCGATTTGAAATGATAGCTCCAGGTATGAAGTCAATTGGATGTTCAATGCCTCGAATTGGTGGCAATCCACTTGGTGCATCCTCCGAAAATATATCGTCGAATTCTTGCAACAAAGACTTAGCCAAACTAGGGAGGGGTGGGTTGGTTTCCTCAAAATTGAGGAGTGATTCCTTATAAATGAACAAGATCATCTCTTTTCTCTCAACTACCACCCTCCTCAAATCACTCTCTTTTGCAAAGAAATTTGCTCGTGTTTTCTCTCTTCTCTCGAAACACCCTCTTTCTTTTCTCTCTTGTGATTGCTCTCTCCTTTTCTCTCTAGTGGCTATCTCAACATTTTCTCTCTTTTTCTCTAACTCACAACTTTCTCTCTTTTTTTCTAACTCCTTAGCTCTCCTCTCTTCCTGACTTCTCAATTTTAATTGGTCCTCATAGACTTGCGTCGGTGTTAATGGCACAAGAGTAATGGTCCTTCCATCCTTAATGAAACTATATCGATTTTTGTACCCATCATGCATAGCCTTCCTATCGTATTGCCATGGTCGCCCCAATAAAATATGTCCCGCTTGCATTGGCACCACATCACACACTAACTCATCCTTATAACTCCCAATTGACAAATTAATTAAGACTCTTCGATTCACCCTCACCTCGCCACTCTCATTCAACCATTGCAATTTTTAAGGTTTCGGGTGTCTCAACAATGTTAAACCCAACTTTTTTATAAGAGATACGCTAGCCACATTAGTGCAACTTCCACCATCAATTATAACACTACGTACCACACTGTTGACGTGGCATCGAGTGTGGAAAATGTTCTCCTGTTGCGACTCCAAGTCATCTGCTTTGACGTGAGTAGTAAGAGCTCGTCTCGTGGCTAGTAGATTCCCAATTGGCCCTTCAACTTTTTCTTCTTCACTAACATCTTCCAACGCTGGCATGTCATCAAACTCGCCATCACTATCGCTCACTATCTCCCCATTATCCCGCAACACCATCGCCCATTTGTTTGGGCATTGAGAAGCAATATGCCCTGTTCCCAAACACCTAAAACATTTGATATCCCGATTGCACGATGGTTGTGCCTCCGGTTTTGATATTGGTTTGCTAGCGTTTTCATCCTTACCTTTTTGCCAATCACTTTTACCTCTAGGTGCAGCCCCGTTTTTGTTGTTGTCATCCCACTTCGATTTCCATGTTGAATTAGAATTCGAAGTACCCAACGGTTGCCTAGACGTCCCCTTTCTCTTCAATTGCCTCTCGACCTTCATTGCCACATGTAACATGTCCTCAATTTCCACATAGTGTTGCAACTCCACAATGTTTACAATATCCCGATTTAACCCATTCAAGAACCGTACCATGGTAGCTTCCCGATCTTCCTCTACATTAGCCCGAATCATAAGAATTTCCGTCTCCTTGTGATAATCCTCTATGCTTTTCGACCCTTGATACAAACCTTGCAATTTTTGATGGATTTCCCTATAATAGTGACTCGGAACAAACCTCCTCCTCATCAATGTTTTCAACTCATCCTAAGTGCTAATTGGCCTTTCCCGACCTCTACGCTGTGATGTAAGTATTTGATCCCACCAAAAATCATCTCAACCTTCCTTTCCCACTCTAAATATGCTTCCGGATCGCTTCTCCCCTTAAATTGTGGAATAGTCATTTTAATACTCCCCAAATTTCCATCTACTTCATCCCCCAAGTTATTTCTGCCCCGTCTTTCCATCCTATCGCCCCTATGCCTCGCATGACCCATATCAATACCATTTTAATCAAAATCATCCTTATCACTACGATACTCATCCCGCCTTCATCTCCTAGATTCACGCATACCCGGCCCCCTAGTTTAGACATCTCCATTCGTCCCCTGCTAAGATTAACGATTGTAGTACCTATTTGGGCCGTACATTCCCCTTGCCTATCCACCTTCTTCCTAACATCACCAAGTACCAGTTCAAACCTCCGTATCATGTCCTCCGATGCATTGTTGTCATTACCGTTTCAGCTTGAGTTAGAACCTTCTCTTTCCGACATCATGTCACACAAATTTATATGCCTCACAAATATATCACTCGAAAACACTCAATATGGCTTTTTCCCTCTATTAAACTCACCACTCGACCTCTTACCACTCAAAGTATCCCTCCAAGAACTTCAAAGAACCAAGTGAACTAAATCAAGTATTTTACCGGGAATTCAACAAACCGAATAATAACCAAGAACCCGAGACTCAAGGAATTGAATTAGGTGGAATAGATGATTGTTTTGACAAGAACACATGAATAGACTCAATAGTAAAGTAAAGAATTGGCACAATGGAATAGCCCAAATAACACAATTCGAGAGTTGTTGTTTTTTTGTGCTGGTAGTAAAAACAAGAAATAATAATATCAATTTTTTTGTGTACTGTATGGATGAATAGTAACCGTACGATGAAAAGTACTTTTTTGACCTTTTATAAAGAAATACGATTAAACTACAAACAACTCAATGAATTGAAATTGACGATAATTTAACGACACAAGAATGACTCAAATGAAGAAGAACACGAGAACGATGAAGAAGAAATAGAAACACTTAACGACACGAGGAACGACAATAGAAATTGGGAAGAATGAAGAAAATAAGAAAAGCCTTAAAAAGTAACGAAAAGTTATAACCTTCAATTAATTTGGAGCCCTGCTCTGATACCAACTGATGCGAACCCCGTAGCAACGTTGACTAAGAAACTCATAACGGGATTGACGAACCCAAGAAAGCCAAATTAATCCAAGAGTTTAGGATTAATTCAAAAGAAAGTCGAACCAAAAAATCCAACAAGAACGATGCTTGAAAGACCCCTTAATCACGCAATCCAAGAATTAAATCCGGTTGTTTGAACGCCACAAGTTAACACTTGATAAGTTCGAAGTTGTTCAATAAAGCACGATGAAGAGAAAACAATACGTCTCACTTTAATTCAATATCAAATATGTTAAAAGTTGTTACAATTGAATGAAAACTTCTATTTATGCTAACCTTAAAACTAGGTAAAAATCGTGCAAAAGTCGAGCATAATTTTCAAAGTATGGAAAAGAATCAAAAACTAACAAAATATGAAAAAATACTAAAAATAGGAAATTCGCCCAAAAATTGGCCTATGCGACCACACCATAAAATTCCATGCAGTCGCATGGTTCAAACAAGATGCCTCCTTTGAGCTTCGGTAGACCACTGTGCGACCGCGAGCGTGTATGCCTGTGCGAACGCACAGGCTTAAAATTTTCCTCTGATTTCGGCCTTCGATATTAAATTGATCCAAGTTGATTCGACTTTCGACCCAAACATAAAAGTTGCTCCATTTTGAGTCCTGAACATGGTGTCTTCAATAATTGTCTTGACGAGCAATCCCATCACCTCGTTGACTCATCTCGTCTTGAGTCCCGAATATGGTGTCTTCAATCGTTGCCTTGACAAGCAATCCCATCGCCTCGTTGACTCGTCTTGTCTTCTATCGCATCATCGTTCCACCATCGACTATCAACGGGTCTCGTCTCGCACTTGCCTTTCTGGTGACCTTAGTACTCTCCAACCCCTTTTGATGTGGAATGGAAGCTGGCTCATATTCGCGGTGTGTGGTGTCCATAGTCCAGTAGTATAAATAATAATTCCTTCGTCGGGCTCGACTCCTGGGCATATCATCTCCTTTGATAGAGACAAAGTTACCCACATCTACAGAGAGGGAAACCAGGTTGTAGATGCTCTTCCCGCAGCAGGTTGGGATCACCGACGATATCAAATGTATGAACTTGCTGACCTACCACATCATATTCAGGCACTTGTGCAAATTGATCGACATGGACTGCCCAACTTTAGAATATGAATTGTAATTTTATTTTAAATTTTAGTTTTAAGTTTTTGTCTTTTATTGTAAGGGAAGTAAACTTTCCCTTTTACTGCTTAACACATTTAGTTCACACAAGAAATTGTTTTCCAAACAAGAATAAGCTTTGTTTTTCCTTTGTCGATCACCCATTCCCTGCATATTTCCATTTTCGAGCACTTTCAACTAACTTCTCGTATTCAACTAGATAGCAAACTGAATCCATAACATATCCAAGGTGTCCACAACTACAATTCAATTTTAAAATTTTAAAATTTCATCAAATATAAAACTTTGTAAATTATTGATAATGTGACGTATTTCGTTATGGGTTACAAAAAACGATATGTAAGTCCAGGGGCGTAGCCAGGAATTAATGTTAAGGGGGGCAAAACTTTAGAAATTTAATCTACGAATAAAATTCATAAATAACAAAAAAAGTCATAATATAATATTATCAGTTACAGTTGTACCTGGTGATGCTTTATAGCATAAAATTCATCAATAATAGAATCTAAATCTAAATTCAAAGAAAATTCTCGTTCAATGTAAAGTGTCATACAATCATCAAGAAAACCATCATCCATTTTGTTACGAATTTCCGTCTTCACATGTTTCATTGCAGAAAATGCTCGCTCCACGATAGTCGTTGAAACAGGCAATGTGAATACTAGACGAATCAATTTAGTCAAATTGATGTAACTCTCCGATCTTCTACTTGCAACCAATTCTTGACACAAATCAAAAAGTGTAGATACTTGAAATCGAGGCTCAAAAATCACATCATGCTGATAATGTTGCAACTCAACTCTCTAACTACAAATATCTTGCTATGTAAAATCTGGAGGATAAAATTTCTCTGTAAGCTTGCAAATATTATCGATGTTAAATGATTCAAAAGAATTTTCGGATCCAATGCCACCAAGAGAAACGAGTTCTAATGATGTCTCATTAAATCTTGTATCTAACTCCGTCATTACAAAATCTATGGCTGCATTAAAAATATCGAAATGGTAATGATGTTCGATGGTAGGATACTCACGACCATGAGAACGACCAACCATGTATGAACCATGAAAGTCAGGTATATATGTATCATTTTTTGAGCAAAAATAATTCACCTCTTCAAGAAATTCTTCCCAGCGATCTTCTCTCAATTCTTGAATGATGGTTTTTATAGTATGGACAAATCTCATAGCAGTTAAGCTATCTTGAGTTTTTTTTTCTGAAGGGCTTGACAAAGCACATCTATGATTGCCAACATTCTACGCATTAAATGCAAAATAAATACAAATTCAAATGTTGTCAATTTTTTGTATACACCACCCAATTCAGATCGAGTTCTTACATTTGGAGAATGATTACTAAGATACTCAAGTACCTTGCAAGTTGCAGCATACATATCAATCGAACTCTTTACAGAGTTGTAATGAAAAGACCAACGAGTACCTCCAACTCGTTGCAAGTTACCAATTTGATTAGCCCCACTTTGAGTCTCTCGTTCTCCAATTTCCAACAAATGTTCAATTTCTTTTTTTTTGGGAGCTTTTCAACTCATTGATGCGCTTAGAAGATGATGTAATCATATTACTAACATTGTTCAAATCTGAAAAGAATGAATTAATATCTGCGACATCCCTAACTGCTGAAACCAACGTGAGTTGTAAACGTTGGGCAAAATAATGGACGTAATATGCATATGGACAATCTCTAAGAAATAATGCTTGTAGTCCATACCAAGCACCACGCATGTTATTAGCACCATCATACCCTTGACTTCTCATGATTTGCACTTGAAGGTTGAAACGAACAAGAATATCAGACATTTGATTCTTAAGATTCAACGATGTAGTGTCACTAACACTTTTGATTGCAAAAAAAAACGTTCTGTCAAAATTCCATTAACATTCACAAACCTCAAGCTAATAGCAATTTGTTCTTGTGAAGATACATCTCAAGCTTCATCAACAAGAATACTAAACTTTGCATCCCCAATTTCTTTACGGATTCTCTGTCTTACTCTATTAGCCATAATGTTCAAAATCTCTTTTTGAATGTCTGGAGATGTGTATGTAGCATTTTTTGGAGCATTACCCAACATAACTTCTTCTATTTTTGTATTCATTTTTCCAAATGCATCTACCATTTCAAGAAAATCCCCACGATTCAGTGAAGATGGAGATTCATCATTGCCTCTAAATGAACAACTTTGAAGTGCTAGCCACCGAACACTCATAATTGTGTTCATTAGACGCAAACGATTTTTCTATTTTTCCTCACTTGATACAGCCTGTATCACCTTGTCAATATGTTGAGTTGGTTTCATTAAATCGTCAGCTCTCTCTTACAGCCATTATGATATGATGAAGATGTTGTGCTAATATGAACAAGAAATGCACATTTACTTCCCTGGCCAACCCTCTTCCAACTAACAAATCCAACAGTAACCAATGATGAAATATTAGGTGGAACACTTTCATTGAAAAAAAGAAAACAGAAAAAGCAATATACCTTATGTGTTGAAGGCGAATACTCCAACCAAGAATACTGATTGTACCAATGCTCTTGAAATCAACGTTTCTGTTTTCCACATTCTTTGCTTTAATACTCCAAAAGTTTTGGTTGATAAGGCCTAGATTTTAAATAGGCACGCCTAATCTGATCACGTTCATTAAACAGATATTTATATATTTGCTTTCTTTTTCCTGGGTCTCGTTCTATAGAATCGGATGGTTCTAACTCAACATTGAAAGATGAAGACCGTTCAATTTCAGGAGATGCAATTGGAGGATTGGGTACCGTAGGAGTTGGAGCACCCTCGGATTTGTCGCTCTTTGTAAAGAAAGATAATAAGGTTCTTCCTTTCTTGGCAAGAGGTCGATTTGGTTCCATATTAAAATCTAAAAGCATAAAAAAAAAATCAAAACACTTCATTATCCCAACAATCCAAAAACAATCCACTAACAACATTTTAACCACTTATCTAACCCTTCAAAAATATTATAACTAGTTAAAAATTCAACACCAAATCTAAGAATCATCATAAACTCATACTCCAATGTAAAATATAATTCAAGGTGATCAAGATCAAGCAAAATACCTGCTTAGTACTTACATAGTTTGTTGCCATCTTGCCGACAAAGTGAACGAGACAATTAGATGAATTATTAAGCTTGTTTAGTTGTTTTAAAAGCAAACCAATCAAATGCTTGTAAAAAATAATAATTATAACCATAAACATAACATAGCCAAAAAAATAAAAATAAAATAAAAATAAATGAACATAATAAAAATTAGAACCATTTACTTACTAACCATGAGAATTGAAATACATGCTCTAAATGAAGTTTGTCCCGATGATGAGGAAACATTTAAACCAACTGCCAATAATCACTTATTTTTCAACTATTTTGTACTATATACTACATTAATCAGTTATGTTTATATTTCTATTTATTTGTTATTTGCTTAATGCTTATATAATCCTGTGAACATTGTTTCAGAAATGCTGGAGGACGTGTTAAGGACTTTCTTCCTCATTTTATTTCTATAAATTAACACTGCCATTGAAGTTTAGCAAAATTTGCATGCCTAATTAATTCCAATTATTTACAGTGGCAAATGCATTTGGATCCGAATTCGATTGATGATCATCAACAGGGAGTTGGAGACTTTGAATACCAAATGCATGCCTTTTGTAAAAAAATAATAATAAAAAAAAATAAAAATTGCAGCATAATAATATAACCCATAAACATAACATAGATAAAAAATTATCATTAATCAAATACATTACACATAGCAAAAAAAATTAAAACATTAGAACACCCTACCCAAAAAAATTGTTTTAATACCTTGGGGATTATTTTAAATCTTGACCCAAGTATTAAAAAGGGCCACAATTACTAACCAATAATCGAAGGAAATGAGTTGTTGGCTAAAAAGGGGGTTCGAATCAAATTATCGAAGGACTTGTCGGCAGCCAACCGAAACTCATCAAACTTCACTTGTTCTTCTTCCTTGTTTGTGGCCGAGATATCCTTTGAGATGGTAATTAGGGAAAAGAATAGGAATGTTGGGGATTAGCCTATTAGGGTTATTCAAAGATTTGGGAATTTTGTTTTCAAAAATTTCAATAAAAAAGCCAGAGACAGAGAGAGAGAGAGAGAGAGAGAGAGAGAGAGAGAGACGCGTAAATCTGGGTAGGTGGAACGAAAGTGAAGGAGATATGTTCATTTTGTTGTATAATCGGGTGTTGGGCAATGGGCTATTGCCTATTGGATATTAAAATAATTTTTTGGGCTAGGTTGAATTTACAAAATGGGTGGGCTAATGGACTAAAACAAAAAATTTTCTAACATTTTTTTGGGCTTGTAATGGACATGGGGTTTGGCAGCATTGGGCTATAAAAATGGATGGGCTAATGGACTAAAACTAAAAATTTTCAAACATTTTTTTGGGCTTGTAATGGACATGGGCTTTGGCAGCACTGGGCTCTACACTCCGTCTCTGTGTAAGTCATTCTAGACAGAAAAAAATGAAATGTTTTCCAAACATATTCACTTAAAAAATAAGGGTAATAAGAAAAATTGGAAAGCGACCTATATCGAAACTCTAATTCAATGATAAAATGAATACAAAACCATTATTAACAAATGAACACCATAAACATAAATCACAACAACAGAAAGAAATGATTCAGAAAAATTGAAAAAGAAAGTAGCTCAAATATTGAAATTTAACATTACATTCTCTTTTTCTCCAAATACCCAACAACAATATTGTAAGTTTTGATTACTCACTTTAATTAAATGAGTGTTCAAGGGAATGTCCTATTAGCTTGTATTATTAGAAATTATTTACTTACTGCAACTTAGGTAGTTTCCTTGTATATAATAGCTAGTTTCCATGTATAATTAGTATCCTAAAATGACTTGTAACTTCTATAAAGAAAAACCAAGACACACAAGAAATTCATTCAGCAAAAATATTGTCATGGTATCAGAACCCTTACTTCCTCGTGCATGTGATTCTCGGTGATTGGCTCTCAGTTCATAGTAAACGGTGGGTACTTCTCAGAGATCGTCTCCATTCTTCGAACTTCCTTCGTGAACAGCCCTGCGCCCCGGTCTTGCTCCTCGTCTCGCGTCGTGTCCTCAGTTTGCATCTCCCAGTTGGCACTGTCTCTCGATGCCGCCTATCAGTTCGCGTCTCTCAGTTCCCAGTTAGCACCGTCTCTCGGTGCCATCTCTCAGTTCGCCTCTCAGTTCGCGTCACACCAGATTTTCTACGTTTTTGGTGTCGGGCTACAGACTCTTCGGTGTCATGTTGGGAATTTCACCTCTCCAATTCAATCCTTGGATTGCACAGGTTACACTCGATTCTTTACCATTTGTTTGGACTACCGTTTGGATTGTATTAGTTAAGCAGTGGTATTATTGGGGCTATTGATTTGGGCTATAATTAATTGAAGACTATTGGGCTATTGTTTTGATTAATTATTAGTTGGGCTGAATTCTTTGGATTGGGCAGAATTTATTTGGTTAAAATTGTGATTATTAGTTGGATCATACACAATTCACTCATGTCAACTGAAAAGAATAAATCTATTTGCATACGTTTTACTGGAAATAATTATTCTTCATGGGCATTTTATTTTCAATTATTGGTCAAAAGCAAAGGTGATTTGTAAGGACATATTGATGGAACTCTTCCTCCTCGTGATCAGAAAAAGGATAAAGAAAAGTATCTTTCTTGGAAAACTAAATATTCTCGACTTATGGCTTGGATCATTGGATTGGTTGATGAGTAGATTATCCTTAATCTCAAGCCTTACAAGTCAGCCCGTGCTATGTGCGAATTCTTAAAAAAAGTCTATACTCAAAGTAATAATGCTCGGCGACTTCAATTGGAGTTTGAATTAGCAAATTGCTCTCAAGAGTCACGTTCCATTGAGGAATATTATTCAGGATTCTCTAATCTTTGGGCTGAGTACACAGATATTATCTATGCTTCGGTTTCATCGGATAGTTTAGAGGTTGTCCAAGCAGTGCACGAAATCACCAAAAGGTATCAATTTTTTATGAAATTGCGAACTGAATTTGAATCCATCTGATCCAGCCTTATAAAACGTGAGTCTATTCCATCACTAGATGGTTGTTTGGGTGAATTACTGAGGGAGGAGCAGTGTCTTATCACTCTTACTTCTTTGGAACAGCAGCAGAATCATGTAGCACCAATTCCTATTACTTATGTGGCTCAAGGAAAATTCAGGCCTCAAGATATGTCTAGTGTGCAATGTTATAGTTCTGAGGGGTTTGGTTACATGGCTCTTCAATGTCCTAAAAATTTTTGCAATTATTGCAAGAAGTTTGGCCGTGTAATTAAGGAGTGCCCACTCATCCTCCACGCAAGATTGGAGCAAATTATGTTGTTGCTGCCACTTTAGCCGCTAGTTCTACTCCACCACCTGTTCCTTCAAGTTCAAGTTCCAGCCTCTCCCAACTCTTCCCAAACTTCCATAACTCCTAAGATGATCTAACAAATGGTTATCTCTGCTTTGTCTGCTTTAGGTGTCTCAGGTAATCCACCTTTTACTTTCTCTTCTTGGATATTAGACTCCAATGCATCTAACCATATGACTCACGATCCTCGATTGCTTAGTAACCTTAGACCATATAATGGACCTTTCAATATACAAACTGCCGATGGTAACACTATTCCCATCTCAGCTGTGGAAGACATATCACCAGATTTGTCTAATGTTTTAGTCTCTCCTAATTTATCAACTAATCTTCTATCTGTCGGACAACTTGTTGATAATAATTGTACTGTCTCTTTTTCTTCTTCTGGTTGTCATGTGCAGGATCAGGTGTCTGGAAGGACGATCGTGAAGGGGCTTAAGAAAGGATGTCTATTTCTTAGATGTTTTTGATTGGCATAATAAATTGGGTCATCCCAATTTACATGTGCTAAAACACTTGTTAAACTCAGGTTTGCTTGGTAATAAAACTACTGCTTCGATTATTTCTCTTGATTGTGCTTCATGTAGGCTTGCTAACAGTAAAGTTTTACCATTCCCGTCTCATGGTTCTCGTGCTTTGCATATTTTCGATATTATTCATAGTGATGTATGAAATCTTACACCTGTGGTATCTCATAGTCATTATAAATATTTTGTCACTTTTATTGATGATTATAGTCGATTTACTTGGATTTATTTTCTTCGTGCAAAGAGTGAGGTCTTCTCTGCCTTTCAAGCATTTCTTGCTCTCATTGACAACCAATTCTCGTCTTCCGTCAAAATCTTAAGATCTGATTCAGGAGGTGAATATATATTTAGTGCGTTTCAATCATTCTTACAAACCAAATGTATTCTTTCTCAGCAATCTTGCCCTTCTACCCCTTAACAAAACGGGCTGGCAGAACGTAAGAACCGTCACCTTCTTGATGTGGTTCGAGCCCTTTTAATAGTCTTGAGTTCCCTCTCGTTTTTGGTGTGAAGCATTGTCTACTGCTGTGCATCTCATTAACCGATTACCTTCTCCAACTCTTAATAACGCTTCTCCATTTTATAAACTCTTTGGTCTTCATCCTACATACTCTCATCTCCGTCCCTTTAGGTGTGTATGTTTCGTTCATTTGCCGTCACATGAAAGGACAAAACTCACCCCTCAATCTGTCAAGTGTGCCTTTCTGGGATATGATGGAATTAAAAAAGGATACGTCGTTATGATCCTACATCACAAAAAATTTGAATTTCTCATAATGTTTTTTTTTTTTTGAAAAACAGTCATTCTTCAGTTTAGAAATCATGGTTTCCCTTCTCATGTTCTCTATTTTACCTGATTTTCCCTCGGAACCATCTAGGTTCAAGCCTGGCCTTGTTTACACTCGGAGGCATGCTGCACCAATTACTAGTCCAGACCTTCTATCTTCGACAACGGTCCTTCCAAGCCTCATTGATCCTACATCTACGACGCCAGATCTTGCACCTTATGATCTGCCGCCTCCTGTTCCTCTTCGTCGTACTTCTCGTGTTTCTCGACCACCAGATAGGTATGATTTTTCCTCCCATAGTTCTACGACTGCTACACTTAATTCGATTTCTATTCCTTCTTCCTATAGATAGGCTATGGAACATGAATATTGGGAACAGGCTATGAAAGCAGAACTCGAGGCACTTGAGGCCAATCAGACCTGGGATATTGTGCCATGTCCACAAACAGTGAAACCCATTGGACGCAAATGGGTATATTCTGTCAAACTTCATTCTGATGGTTCTCTTGAGCATTGTAAGGCTCATTTGGTTGCTTTGGGTAATCGTTAGGAGTATGAGATAGATTATGATGAGACATTTGCTCTTGTGGCCAAAATGACCACTGTTCGTCTCTTGTAATTGCTTGCCATTTGCCAGTCATGGTCTTTACATCAAATGGATGTGAAGAACGCATTTCTACATGGAGATCTCAAGGAGGACACTTATATGAAACTTCCATTTGGTATGCCTCTTCCCTCGGTTGATTCTGTCTGTAAGCTACAACGCTCATTGTATGGTCTTAAGCAGGCTTCTCGTGCTTGGTTTGACAACTTTCATTGCACTCTTTTGGATTTCTCTTTTACTCAGAGCCAGTATGATGCATCTCTATTTTTTCATAAGAGTCCCGCTGGAATTGTTTTTTCGTTGCTATATGTAGATGATATTATTATCTCTGAATCTGATCACAGTCTTATTCAGAAATTTTAGCAACATTTTCACCCGATTTTTCATATGAAAGACCTTGGTCAGCTTACTTACTTTCTTGGCTTAGAGGTACATACTACATCACATGGTCTCTTCTTAAATCAACATAAATATATTCAAGACTTGATTGGATTAGCTGATCTCTTTGAAGCCTCCTCAATTGATATGTTGCTGGAGCTTAATGTTAACTATCAAAAGGTCAAAGGAGATATTCTTCCAGATCCTTCTCTTTATCGAAGGTTGGTTGGTAGTCTCATCTATCTCACTATCACACATCCGGATATTTCATCTGCAGTTCATACTCTAAGTAAGTTTATGGACGCCCCTCGTCATCTTCATATGGTGGCTGTCCATCGCATTATTCGCTATCTTATTGGAACTCCTCATCGTGGTCACTTTTTCCCTCGGGGGTCGTCTCTTGAACTCACAGCTTACAGTGATGTGGATTGGGCTAGTTGTCCTGATTCTCGTCATTCTACTACTGGGTGGTGTATTTTTTTTGGTGACGCTCTTATTTCTTGGAAATGTAAGAAACAGGACTATGTTTCTAAGTCCTCCACTTAGGCTGAATACCGAGCTATGTCAGCTGCATGCTCTAAGGTCGTGTGGTTACATGGTCTTCTTGTCGAACTTGGTTTCTCTCAGTCACAACCTACGCCTCTTCATGGTGAAAACACTAGTGCTATTCAGATTGCGGCCAATCCTATGTATCATGAACGCACCAAACATGTCGAAGTGGACTGTCACTATATTCGGGACGCCTATGATTCCAAGGTCATCGCTCTTCCCCATTTTTCCACTTCTCAACAAGTCGCGGATATCTTCACCAAATCTCTAACACGCCACCGTCATAATTATCTTGTCAGCAAATTGATACTTGTGGACTCCCCAACATCAATTTGAGGGGGGTATTAGCGTGTATCATTAGAAATTATTTACTTATTGCAATTTAGGTAGTTTCCTTGTACATAATAGCTAGTTTACATGCATACTTTGTATCCTAAAATAACTTGTAACTTCTATAAAGAAAAATCAAGACACACGAGAAATTCATTCAGCAAAAATATTGTCATGTCCACGGTAGATTTTAGGGTTTCATCTTTTTACATATAAGGATATTTTATTAATTTACAAATTATATTTTCATTTTCATTTTTTTTTTATCTTTAGGCTATCTAATCGAAAAAGATATTTCATCCGTCTCATTTGTATAAGTTGACTTTCTTTATTTTCTTGTCCCAATTATATAGTTTTATTTCCTTATTAAGAATATTTTGTTTCGTTTATTTACTAATATACCGTTATTTAATTTTCATAATTATAATCAATTTTTTTCCACTTAATCTTGAAATTGTACAAATATAAATAAGGGTAAATTAGAAGAGTTTTTGGCAAAAATTACTTTTTCAATAAAATTAAATAAGAATTCTGAATCGGGTGTAAAAAATAAAATTATCTTATACACATGGTACAACAGGAGTAGTCCGTGGACTTTATAAATAAATTTTGTAATGGTAATAGACCACCACAAAATTTGTTAAGTACACATTATATTTACACCACAATTAAAACATAGTTTTAATAATTACATCACAGCAAATTTACAATTATATACATAAATTTATAAAAATAAATATAAAAAAGAATTCTAGGTTTTGATAAATAAACTGCAACCAAACTTTATCTTTTTCTTTTCTTCTAGATATTTCTTTCCACAGTGTACATTTTATGGATGTATCCACACTAATATTATTAATTATTCTTTCAAAGAAGGGAAAGATAAAGAAGAAGAAGAAGAAAATTTGATTTCTAAGAAATGAGACTAAATCTTTTTGTCAGTGAACTTAATTTATAATTTTAGAGAGATTACCGAAATGTTTTGAAAGTTATTAAAAGAAGATGGGCCAAATCACAATACACTCATGGACTATTGCATTTTTGCGGTCTTTATTTTGTAATTTTTTGGAGAGTCTAAACTTTTAAGAATGAAATTTAAATTTCTACTGACCTTTCTTGGTACAAATTATTATAAATCTAGTTTTAAATTTGTGTATTTATTCATTATGATGAGTGAAGATTTTAGTAATATAATTTATTTTGTGTAGTACAACCTGACTATTCTGATTCTCTTGTTGACCTTATAAATTATTACATCACTAAAATGCATTTTCCCTTAACTTTTCTTTTCCTTTGGTCTGCATCATTCATAACTTTTAGTTAAGATGATATATATATATATATATATATATATATATTCTTGTTAGAGATATTTATTATCCATATAAAATTTTTAAGTTTGAAGATTTTCAAGCTATTCTTGCTCAAGGATCAAGAAGTCTGCTTACAGAACTCAGATCAAAATTCAAAGCAAAAGGCAAGATTCACAGAAATCTTTCAAGATCAGACTTAAAACTTGTTTACCATGATGATTCATACCTTATTTTTACTGATGAACATAAATGGGTTCCCAGTCAAATTCCATTGCTTCAAGACATACTCAACAACACACTAAAGATGTCTCCACAATGCAAAGATCATTTATTCAAGCATTATCATTATCCTCGAAATGATTGATGAAAAGACAAACTACTTTAAATAAAGTAGAAAACAAATTTCTTTTCATCTTTCAAGAATTCAAAAGACGTTGCTCTTTGTCAAAAGTTGATTCAAGTGGAAGACAAAAGAAGAAGACTTCAAGAGTTTATTTCAAAACAAAGCGAATTTGGTAAATAGAAGTTTTATTTCTTTTGTCCTATTTTGTTCTCTGCAAAATTACTTTGTAATTTTTCAAATTCTGTAATAGTTCAATTATTAATAAAATTTCCCTTTTCAGATATTTCTATCCTTAATTTTGATTTTATTTTTGAGTATTTTTCGATTTCCTTTCCCCTGGGCTATTTTGGTAAAATTGAGATGTCTCTTATCTCTAAGCGTAAGAAGAATTGGAACATCAAGACCAAGTCTAAACAAAGGCTTGACTGCTATTTAAACTAATCCAACATGAAGATATTTAAATTTCTTCCTGTGGGATTCAATGGCTTCTTTTGTAAGTAAATTATGAAAGAATTTTGACTATTAATTGAAACAGTTTGTTCAATAGTTTTGATAACATAATTTTGAGAAAAATCAAATTTTCCTATTTCATAGATGGTATGTTTATCCATCTTTGGAATAGTCCAATTTTGAAGAAGTTGTTCAATTTTTATGCGACTTGAAGTTCATGAGAATTGAAATCATTGGATACGGATGATGCAGATGCATGATCAATTTTTTCTTCTGTTTGAAAAACATTTGTTCTATTCTCATTTGATTGATTTTCACGTCTATTTCTAGACTTTGATCTCCTTAACCAATTTGTTACTAAAGACATAATTGAATAAAAATGAAATTAAAATTAAACAAAGTAAAGACAAAATAATAGGATAGACAGTTTCTCATCAAGCCTACAACAGGACCACCCTTCCAAGCCTACACCGGCAACACGGGTTGACCAACGCTTAACAGCAGACGTCCAAGGTCGAACAAGGTTTTCCTAGATATCTTGTGCCTACAGTGTTTGACAATAATTTCACCTTACTCTCTTATGGCTCTGATACCAAAATAGCCCAGGGGAAAGGAAATCAAAAAATAGTCGAAAATAAAATCAAAATTAAGGATAGAAAATATTTGAAAAGAGAAATTTTATTAATAATTGAATTATTACAGAAGATTGTCAACAATTCTTTTGGAAAGAAAAATTTATTTCAGGTCTTCCAAAACTCTTTGCAGAAAGAGTAAAAAATTCTATCTTCAAAGAAAATGACCTTCAAATACTTACATATGGTGAAATTATCAATTATATCAATATTGAAGCTTTAATTTTATGCAATGATTTAAAACTCAAAGCTAAATTGAAAACAGAAAAATCTGAAAGTCGAAAAAAACTTGGATCTTTCTTTGAACAATATGGTTTTGAAGAAGTCATTCCTCCTTCTTCAAAATCCAAAATTTTTTCTCAAAATAGAAAATTTTCTAAAAGAAAATATTTCAAAAAATATCCAGAAGAAATTTCTAACAAAAGAAAATTTTCAAAGAAAAAAACTTTTTTAAAAAAGAAAAATTCAAAAAAATCTTCAAGTATTACTTGCTGTAAGGGTAATAAGACTGGTCATTATTCCAATAAATGTCCCCTCAAAAACAAAATTAGTAATCTTCAAATTGATGAAGGTACTAAACTCAACTCCTCAATCTGATTGAATCAAGTTCTGATAATGAGTACAACTCAGAATTAGAACAAGTCTTTCATAATCAAGAAGATTCTGATTATGAGTCTTCTCCTCATTCCTCTGATATTTCTTCAAACTCAGATAAAGAAATTTGTGGTTGCAAAACTAATTGTTTTATCTAGAGAAGAATAAGTTATTCAAGATATTATTGATAGGATTGATAATCCTAATCTCAAGAAAAAATTCTCTTTCCTTTTACCTTCTACTTCAAAACAAGATTTTGATGATATCAATATCAATCAAATTCTCAAACGAGCTCAAAAAGAATTTTCTAAATTTCTGAACCGTCTATTCCTGATCTTCAACAAGAAATTAAGGGTATGAAAACTCAAATCTTAGACCTTGAAAATCATGTCAAAGAAATTTACATGGAAGTCGTTTATATGAAAGCAAAAGATTTAAATGATGAATTTTATTCGAAATTCAAAGGAAAACTGAAAGTTTCTTCGAAGCATTCTTCCAAAAGATCTTCAAAACATTCTAAATCTTCGTCTGATTGTTCATTAGATTCTGATTTCAAACTTCTCAAATTTGAAGAAGAAAAGGTTAATGTTATTAACCAAATTTAACTTCAAAAATGCTACTACAATATGACTATTGTTGTGAATAAAGAATTTAAAATCACAACTCGTGTTCTTATTGATTCAGGCGAAGATCAAAATTGTATCAAAGAAGGCTTGATTCCTACAAAATACTTTGAGAAAACCACTGAGCGTCTATATGGAGCTAGTGGAAAAAAGCTCAATATTAATTACAAAATTTCAAAAGCTCATGTTTGTAATTCAAATATTTGTTTCAAAAATATTTTTTATCTTGTAAAAGATTTGGATCAAGAAGTTATTCTTGACACACCTTTTATTATTCAAATTTATCCTTTTAAAGCTGATTATAAAGGATTAACTACAAAAATTTTTG